TCAGGTAAATAAATGACCCCCAAAACATAATCATACCCTAAAACTAGCAATTAGGCACATTACACTTGAAAACAGCAGTATCACATTTTACACAAGAAATCCAATCCTATTGTTGTTTGAAGAATATTTTTGGTTCAGCCACATTTAATGTATGAATATGTTGAAGGCCATGATGGAATAATACCTCAACTGTATTTGAGTTCATATTTTGCTATATAATCTCAAAGCTCATGTTTTTTTTTTATCTATTCACAAGTGGACTTCTTTGAGAGTTTGTGCCACTGTTCTGCAAAAAAAAAAAAAAAAAAAAAAAGAATATCATGTAAGATCACAAGCTTTCTTCTCCTGTTTTTCCTTGTGAAGCAGAACTTATACTTCTATGACTATCAACATGAAGTTATTTTAACAAAATACTATTAATTAAATGCAAGTTGCAATGGCCATACATTCATCTCACAAGTCTCTCCGCTTACTTCCACTTGAATGTACATTAAATATAGTCCAAATATGAAAAAATATTTTATTTTAATTTAATGACTAAAATAACTACAAAACGATATGTGTGCAAAACTAAATTGCATTTAAAAAAAAATAAAATAAAAATAAAATCTCATCTGTAGCATTTTTTAAATTATATAGTTACTCATTATATGACATGTTACAAATGTCAAAGATGTAAAGGCTAATAAATTATTGATCTCCTTATTATATTAAATTACACTATATTAAAAGTGTTTGTGTATAACACTGGTCATAACAAACAGTAAATATCTTTTCAAAAATTAATTTTCAGAAGATCAGAGTTATAACCATATCTATGAACAACTATAAAACCAGGCTTAAATAAAACTATCCCAGACATAGAATAATAAATAAAAACAATAATTTAAACTTATTTTAGTCAGGCACCCATCTGGGCACCCTGACAATCCTTTATCCGGCACATGCGCAGTTGAAGATTTCTCTTTCTCGGTGATCGCAATGGCGGACGCAGAGTGAGTGGTTCTTGTGTTTTAAAATCTAAGCACATCTGGTCATCATATGGTTATAATTCAATATTTAATTGCTTATTTGAGAAATTTAGGTGTTATACAATTATACAATTGAAGTATTGTTGGGGAATGTGACTTTTAACTTTTGTTTTTATGGCTATTTTATGCAGAGTGTTGGCAGAACAGTGTTCAACATGGCTGCTATGTGGTCTCTGAACACTAAAGAAATGTCCTTTTCTTTTTTAAATAATGAAGGAAATTTGGAAATTTACCACATATATGTCGCAACACGCCTTTTCTAGTCATTTGTTGTCAGTACATAAATTTTGATGGAAGCCGGTAAAGAACTAGGCTAACCAGCTAGCACTACAGCACTGTAAATTATATTCTTTCGTTTAACGTACAAGCTGCTGCTATGTTGGACGGTCAGAACATGGTACCCCTTTGTCGACAATAATTTTAATGACATGCCTCGACAGAAAAAAGTTGCCGTCGGTCCCTGAGAGCCTTTTAAAAAGGCGAAAGACCTTCGCCGCCATGAAGGCCTTGCGTATCAAGAAGATTCTGGTGGAGAAGAAGGTAAAGTTAATCTACTGCTTCTCGTAGTCTATGCTTTCTAACAGCTGAAAGTAGGTTTTGTGGACCGTTTTAAGCATGTCACTGTTCATTTCAGGCCCGGAAAGCGACCAGGAAACTGATCTACAAGAGGGCTGAAAAGTACCACAAGGAGTATAGGCAGATGTACAGGCGTGAGATCCGCATGTCTCGTATGGCTCGCAAAGTGGGGAACTACTATGTGCCACCTGAGCCCAAACTGGCCTTTGTTATCAGAATCAGAGGGTAAGTTGCTCCTAGGAGTATAGTGTTATGACTTCAACATGGAATGCTGGAATTGCAGTAATTGTTCTCCCTGTGTTTGTTTTTGGTTCATGGTCAGTTCTTGCTCAAAGCCAGTCCAGTGTCTTTGTATTGATCACTTACCACTGTGTGATCTTCCTGATTTAATTTTTATACTCTATATACTTTATCAACTTCAACTTAGTTGTGCAAGTTTAGGGATGAGATTAGGACTTATATATAGGACTCTTATTGTCTTTAATGTATTAAATGTATTTTTCTTGTCTGGATAAGTATGGAAATAGAAAATATAGAAAGTCATAGGCATTTTAAAATCATATTCTCCGTCCCAGGAGCTGTCATACTTAGGTTTTCACAAATATTTCTAAAAGTAACTTTAAAGGTAACCTAATTTGGTGATTTTCTTGATGTCAAGTATATATATCTTCATCTTCTCCCTCCATCCATTGATCAATTGAGCCATTCAGTAATTTAACCGTTAGTTCAGCCATCCGTAGAAGCTTTAAACAAGTTTTATGAACTTTTGTTTCTTCCTGCACTGTTATTACTTTTCCTTAATATCTTAGCTAAGTGTTAAAAGTAATATATTTGTCAGCCTGTCCTATCATTAGATTAGTTAGCTTTCTACCAGTCTACTTTTTCATTTGTCTCTTTCTGTAGAGATAAAGAAATATTCACCTCTAGCTGAAGCGGGTATAAACTGAACTTTCGTGCTTGAGATGTGGGCTAAAAAAATGCCTATCTGGTCAAGTCAAAAGGGGGGGATTTGACGAATTTCCTTGTATTATGCCCAGGGCCATCAGTCAGAGCAATATAGTGATTATTAATAACCTTGGGTTTATTTATTCATCCCAAATGTTATGTCTTTAGATTTAGAGTCGTGTTCTAATGCCAATTACGAAGCTGTCCCTGAAAATCACCCCCAAAAATAATTTCCACAATTGTTCTGTAATAATTTTAAAACTTTAGTACATAGTTTCCCAATCATACAATAATTAGACAAATTTTATTGGTACAATTATTAAATGTTAGGGAAAGAATTTATTTCATGAACCTTAAGCAACCTTGACTTGCAAGCTAAGATGGTTAAAATGTTTTGAGCAGCAACAAATTTCTTGTTTAAAGAAGCAATCGATGTAAATCTAAGTGGTTAATGATGAACATTCTTTCCCCGACTTATCGACTATGGTGAAAGATTAGTTTCATTAGCCAATATCCTTCTGAAACCACTATCACTACTGCTATTTGACAGATGTTGGCATGGCTCAAAGACTAATTATTATTGTTGTGTTTTTAGTATCAACGGTGTCCCACCAAAGGTCCGCAAGGTTCTGCAGCTGCTCCGTCTGCGCCAGATCTTCAACGGTGTGTTTGTCAAGCTGAACAAGGCTTCTATCAACATGCTTAGGATTGCAGAGCCTTATATTGCTTGGGGGTAAGAGTATTAAAGTGTTCAAATGTAGATTTACTTTTTTAAATATAGGTAAAATATTTTGGAATGTGGTTAATGATGCTGAACTTTTTTCCCCATCATATCGACCATGGTGAATACTTGCTGAAACTAAGCCAGTTTTGTCTGAAACCACATTCCAAGCCATTCTGATTGCCTTAACTCCCAGTTGCTGGTTTGGTTTTTTAACATTGTGAAGCATTTTGTGTTTAATAAGTCAAAGTTTGGACTTAAAAAGTCCATAAAGTGATCTAAAGGAAATGTAAAACTTTTGATTAAAAAAATTGTTATAAAGTATGTATGGACCGAGGATTAGATGCCTTGACTGCTCAGAAATGAGAGAAAATCATAATTTTCTCCTCTAATCTGAACCGCTCTCTTAGATGTCTGTAATCCTTGGGGAGCCACATCAATTTGAAGTAGTTTAGTTGGGTGATGCATAGCCCTAATTCTCATGGCCCACTGTCTTGAATTTTTTATTAATGTTCTGCATCAGCCTCGTCTCAAATGAACAGGTCACAGCAGACTGCTGTTGAAACTGGAAATTATCTGAAACATGTAGGACATTGGAGCTGGAGGTCCTGGGTTGGGAATTCTGTATTGGGTTTGAAAAGCATCCTCTTTAAATACTTCTAAGAACAGTTTCCTTTTTAGAAAGAAACTGGGCTCTTGTTAAAAGGTTTAAGTTTAAACACCAGCAACATATATCTAAATAAAAGTATAAAATTTCCAATACTGTTTTAAATTATGTTCATGACTTTAAAACTATTTTCTGATAATACTCAGATACCCCAACCTGAAGTCTGTGCGTGAGCTCATCTACAAACGTGGCCATGGCAAAGTGAAGAAGATGCGTATTGCCCTCACAGACAACGCTCTGATAGAGAAGCCCCTTGGTAAGAATTTCTTCCCTCACACAACTTGCCATTTTTTGCTGTTTATTATTTTCCATCTATCCTATATCTCCGCACAATCTCATTTTTGATTTTCATGTTGTCCTGGCGCATAATGTGGCTAATGATGTACACTTTTTTCCCCGTCTTATCGACTTTGGTGAGAAAAACAACAAATTTAGCCAGTTGTATCTGAAGCCACTTGCCAGTCTTATTTATTTGGAAAGCTTGTTTTGGTTTTAATTCACAAATCTGTATGATCCATCTATAATTTATCCTGAATTCTTGAGTTAGTCGCACTAAATTAGACCTTATGACATATTTGTGTCTTTAGTCTTATTTTGATGCCAAAGTCCCAAATCTGAGATCTTAAAATACTGATGCAAATTTTTCTGGAAAATCTTGATTTTGTTTTATACAACAGGAAAAAAAAGGTAGTTGAAGAATCTGTTGCTTTTCAATATATAACACTGAAAAAAGCCCTCAGTTTGTATTTAAAATTGCTGTATTTTCAGTGAAACGAATAGCTGTGAAAAATTTATTTTATCCTTCAGGCAAATATGGCATCATCTGCATTGAGGACCTTATTCACGAGATCTACACAGTTGGCAAGAACTTCAAGATGGCCAACAACTTCCTGTGGCCTTTCAAGCTGTCATCGCCACGTGGGGGTATGAACAAGAAGACCACACACTTTGTGGAGGGAGGTGACGCTGGAAACAGGGAGGACCAGATCAACAGGCTGATCCGAAGGATGAACTAAGTTTATGGTAAGTTTTAGGATTGCCGTACAGATCTCTAAAAACGGCTGTGGTCAATGATGCATAATCTTTTTTCCCCGTCTTATCGACTATGGTGAAAATCATTTGTTAGTTAAGCCAACCATGTCTGAAACCACATCTTTGCAATTACTGCTTATGTTACCTGGAGTTTGCTTTCTAATACGGTGTTTTCTCTTCTTTTCAGGTTTTCTAAGGACTCAAAATATACAATAAAAACATGTTTAAAAAATTGTGTCGTTCACATCTGTGTCATTGCTTTGCTGTGTGGTGACGAACCATTGCTGGGAGTTCTGTTGTTCAAGGACATTGCCAGTCTTCCTAAGCTTGTCATGGGTTTTAGTTTTTAAGGTTTGACCAAATATCCTTTGAGGTTCCATATTAAAGTTCCCAAAAATCTAAATTTGAACAAATTTGAAATAAACAGTTGAATCGTCTATTTCACAGGTCTGCAGAGTGGAGTGATAAAAGTGATTTCTTCAAAAATAAAATTGATTGGTCCACAACAATTTGTGGACCAATCAATTTTATTGATTTGAGTTTTTAAACTCAAATTTGCAGTTGAGCATAGCAACCTACAAAAAGGGTCTGAGATGCATTTTGAAAATTTAAATAAACTGACTAAAAATTGCAGGAAGCTGTACTGCCATTCTTTAAAAAAACAATATCCAGTATTAAAGTGGTTCAAAAATCCAGAATTTTAACAAGTGTTTTAGAATTGCTGATACTTAAATTTAATATTAAAAATATAGGTGACTTCAAATACAGTCTTATATACATTTTAAACTACATTGGAAATAAATCACAAAAAGCCAAACATCCCGAATTTGACCAATTGACTTGGAATTGAAGTAATTCTGCTTGTAGAAAAACTTTAAATTTTTAAATGATGTAATCCAAGACATCCAGCTAATCAACGAATACAGACATACATGACTTTGTTGTTTAAAAATGCCCAGATTGAATCATTTTCTGTCAAATCAAGTCCAGCTATAAATATCATCCACCTCGTGCGTGTGAAATAAAGCCGCCGCGGAGCGATTGATGTGTGTTTCTATAGTGACGCAGTGAGCTTTTACTACAGCGGGCTACAGCTTAGCATCTGCTCAGGGATAGTTGGAGTCAACGAGCCTTTTATTATGTAGAGATACACTCATCAAACACAAGGTGATATCCGGTAGGGTCCAACATGATGACCTACCAAATGCCTGCCGCCAAAGTTTTCATATCGGAAGGAGGTTTGAGCTATGGCCGCCCTGCTCCTGGATACCCAACGCACAGCACCTTCGGGATTGGAGGACGTGTCGCGTTAAGGCCAAGTCAGACAAGGAAGTTATCTTTAATGCTGCCTCTCAACAGTGAGTCAACAAAATGCACCAAATACAGGCTGAACGAGCTTTCCTGAGCATCTTTTTCTGTTTTTTTTTCAGGTAACCAGAACGACAACACGCCAGTGAGCAGCTTCATAATTAAAGGGTAAGATGTCATATTGACGCCAAGTGCAATTAAATGCAAGCATAATCAGCAACTGTGTGTCTCGGAATTGATTAGATAAATCCTTACGACGTATGATTTGTCAAAAAAAAAAAAAAAATTGACTAGCATGTTTGTTTACACCGTGATGTCACGGTTGGTCCCCCTGTGCAGCATTACGTATTGCTAGCTGCTTCTGCATATCAGTTGGAGAAGAAAGTAAGGACTGATTTTGACTTATGACAAAAAACTGAAAAATCCCACATATTCCTGGCAGGTTAATTTTATTGAGACTCCTCAGAATGAACAGAAAACACGTTTCATAAAAGTAAAACCTATTTGGACATCTAAATAGGTTTAGATGTCCAAATAGGACATCTAAGTGTGATGTTTGAAACAGTCGGAAAGCTCGATGCCACCATGGTCTGAAAGGCCACTCAGAAATGAGGAAGTCCTAAATAGAAAAAACATATAAAGCCAGGCTGCAGTTTGCGAATGCATTTAGGGACAAGAACCTTTATTTCTTTACTTTTAATGAAATATTAAATTGTTTCATTAGAATCGTCCCACTAATCCCATGTTACTTGGAGAATTGACAAAAAGCACACTAAGCCAAAGCTTGGGTGTCAGGAGGTTGAGACCTAAATGTGTCACAATTCTGAATAACATCAATGCTTTTGTAAACCGACATTTGCATTTCTTCCATCTATATAGGAAATCAAAGTTAAATAAAGAGGACGAAGTGATTTCAGAGGATGTTGACCAAGGAAATGATATCTTTGGGAGACACTTCCTGTTTGAGAAAACATGTAAGTACTGAATGAAAGGAATAATTTTGTAGGGGATGCTGTTGTCCATTGCTGTTGTAAAAATTGAAGCTTACAGATGTAACATAAACTCATTACCAGTAGGTGGAGCTATTATCACACCAATAATATTCTGGTCAATTTTGATGTATGGTTTTTAGATCATTGATTGTTTCTTGGTTTGTTGTATTTTTTCAACTATAATAAACTTAACTGCCATCTTTTAATACCTTGATTAGGTACAAAGTTAGAAAGGACCAGAACTACGATTCCTCCACTGCAGAAAGACACCAATGAGCATCGACATGTTAAACTTCACCCTTTGAGTCTCTCCGCTGAGCTTCCCAGCATCCCTTCAGCGAGATTTTTCACCTTGGGGTAACCAGTTCAGGAGGCTTGATGTCTTCTGGCTTCACCAAAAATATTTAAAATCTTAGCAGCACAGATTGCACTAATTATAGTTCTTGTCTCTTATGAGATGCAACAAGAGATAAGACGCCTGTAAAAGCCTATCTAGTTCATTTTTATTATTTAAAAACATGTAACATGTTTGTATAATTTTTTGAAGTTAGTTTTTTAGGCTTTATTACACAGTTGGTCTTTTTGTTTAGTATTTTGCACAACATCCAAATCTCATTTATAGAAGATAGATATTGCTATAGAAGGCATTATTTGTAAATTATTTTATATGTATTAATAATGAATTGCCATTACAATTTAATACATGTTTGCATTTGAATTGTTAAAGCAAATCAAACTTGTTTAGAGCTGAACATTTTCAGATTTTGTGAAAAGACGACTTAATTTTTTAAAATAAATATCTATTATAGAAAATTTGTGGGCATTAAATTTTTTTTTTTATCTATATTTTTAAAACAAAGAAAAATACCAAACATTTACAAACAGTAAACAGTTTCTTCAGTGGATTGTTGACTTTTGTGGAAAATAATTTAAGCCAAAAAATAAAAAAAATCTTAGTTTCTAATGTATTTATGAGATAATAAATGCTACTATTTGTGTCATTCTGTTGTAGAAATTTAATGCAATTTAATACCATGCAAAAAAACACAACATAAAAACTGAATAAATTCTAAAATCTGCATTTATTATATTATTATTATTATTTTCTCTCACTCTTTTTTTTTTTTTTTTTTATGTTATTGTTCTTCACTGTATTAGCCAAAATATTAAGCGCCATTATGGAAGGTCCAAAGAGCCACTTGCGGCTCCGGAGACACAGGTTGCAGACCCCAGAAACTCTGGGGTGAACATCAGTCCACCCTCCACTTTAATCTTAAGTGGCAAGAACAATTTTTCAGTGGAAAGCTGCAAGTTTAGCAGGTATTGTTCTGCTTTCTAAACTAAGTGATCTCAGCGATCTAAGATTGTGTTGGATATTCCCCAGCCCAGTGTCACCTCCACTGTCTTTCTGTTCCGCAGGCCCAAGGTACATTATCCAACCTACAACCCGGCGACTGTTAAAGACAATCAGAAAAGTAAGTTTGGACGAGACACCAATACACTCATGCTCGTCCCCCACAGGTTGCTGCCCATATCAGAAACCATCACTGCTCAAATAAATCCAGCACATGGCTTGTCTGATTCAAAGGACACTTATCACATTTACAACCTTTTCTTTAGAGCTGTATGATGTAAGCAGTTTGATATCATAAGTTACCTTCATTTTCATGTCCAAGGTTGAGAAATATCTCTTTGAATATCCTTAAAAAACAGTAACAGAAGAAACATTTTCAACTTTTTATTTATTTTACCTAAGAAAGGTTTTTTGTCTCTGAAATGTGATGTTTGCTTTTTATGTCAGCATGCTAAAATAAAAAGCCAACATGAAAAGCACTGAAGCATAAATTGCTTGTAATTTTACATCTTATTTTTTTCATTTGTGCTTCTCTCCAATCTAAAACCTTCCCTAGGTTGTCTTCATGCATCCCAGACTTATTCAGACCCAATCATCGGAGCCTCTCGCTCTTTTATCCACCGGATTTCTGAGCTCTCCTCTTTGGAGGGTGAGACGGTGAGACATGAGAAGATTAAGAAAATCAGCAAATCTAAAAAATGTCCGTCCTGACAATCACCCCCTTCTGAGTCGCGACGGCCCAGGATTAAGACGTTTGAGTCTGTGCCAACAACTGAACAAAATAAAACACTTCAGGCACCATATTCATTTCACTGGCTTGTTCTGACGGCGTGTTTGTCCTCAGCGATACTGTTTGGCGGCTTAACGTGGCTGCTTCTTACTTTTTGGAATTCCTGACTTTCCTTAAGTGATGAAATGTAGTTTCAAATCCGTATTCCCAACGGCAATGATGATGACTTTTCCACATAAAAATCTGTAGATTCTCATTTGTCAGTAGTTTTTCCTTCCACACATGCATGGAAACATGTTATATTTATTTCTGTAATGGCTTTAGTGGCCATGAAGCAGCGATGCCATGTTTCTCTGTGTGTGCTGTGGATGTCGGTTGAGTCTAAAAATACACCATTGTCACAGAAAGTTTCAAACACATTTCTGCTTTGTTTACTATGTCAAATTTATGTGTATAAATGGCATAGTTTAGCTAAACTCTTGTGCCTTGTTAGATGTCTTCCTCAAATTAAATAAAATTTATTTTTGTTATTCCAAAGAGGCTACATTTTTCTTTCTGATCTCTGTTATATGCTGGCAAAAGGAAAATCTGGCCATTACAATAGTCAGCGCATGTTAAATTCTGCACGAAAGCATAATCTGTGGTCCACAGCTTCACAACTGGACAAATGACATACCCACAGATACCAGAATGTGGTGTTTTCCCACATAATGCATTGTTTTACTGTGGCATGAACTG